TTACCATTGTCCCCAGCATTTTCATTAGTGCTAGCATTAGGATTCTCTTGAGATGGTGGTTGTTGCTGCTCACCACCCTGAGGAGGTGGGGTTGCTGGCGCTTCTGGAGTGGTTGGCTTTGGTGCTGGCTTTGGTTTTGTCATAATAGGCTTACAGAACCTATGTTGAAATAGATGGAACAATGAGCAAGGATAAACAAGCCATTCAGCCAAAAGTGCAACCTAAATCAAAGATCAGAACAAATACCTGTCAACAGCTTCAGCTTTCTTTCTTATGTCAGCTGACAAAAGTACAGGAGTGGTATATTTTGGAAGTGAGTCCTGTTGCTGTTTCTTCTCCCTGAGCCAGTTCTCTGCTTCCACACACTCATTTAAGACCTGAAAACATAAAATGGAGAACACTTTCAGATCAAATGGCAACAAAGGGAAAAATAAACAGTGGGAAAATTGGCAATGACCAATTACCTTCTGTTTCTCGTTGATGTCAATGTGATCGAATTTGGGATCATTTGACATTGCAGCTTCTCTGTAACTATTTATGCAATATTTGAGCTGATCAATTACTGTACCCCTCTCCATGTATTCTTTGTATCGCTCTTCAATTGGATCACCTTGCTGCAATCGTGCATATATCCATTAAGAATACAAAAACTAAAACTGAAATATATCCTTTTTGCCCATGTTTATGCATAGTACCACAAAAAACAACACATATTGCCTCCGTAATCATTCAATCTTTGAAAAGTTTTATCTATGGGGACAAAAGTATTCTCTACAACAACCAAGCCTTAAATTTCTAACCTTCTGGAGCTCTTCTAGTTTGGCAATGTATACACCTTTAGTTTCATCTTCACCATCCTCATATAGCCAGTCTTCCACCTCCTGAAGTTTAGCAGTTAATGCTTCCCTGTCTGAATCAGTGACAAACTCTTGGTATTTGTCATTAAGCTGAAACGATAGCAAGAAATTAGTTATAATAATAATCAAATATTTGACCTAAAATAACAAGAAAACCATGACAATCCTCACCTTATTTCTCATGTCATAAACATAAGCCTCTACTGCATTTTTCTTGTCTTTTGTTTCCTCCATCACTCGATCTTGCAAAGCCATTTCAAATTCCCTCTCTACAGCTTTCTGGACATCCACGGTTACCATTGCTCCATAAACTAACTCTGCAACAGGAATGTTTATTTTCTTCACCTTCTTCTTTGGAGCCTCAACCTGTTATCAGTCAAGTCAGTCAAATTACAAACTATTCAACAGACCAAGCTTGACATCTTAATTGACTCACAAAATCCAACAAGCACATAATATTAAACACGTGATCATACTTTACAATACATTTATAAGGGGAGGATTTGAATCACCCTTGGTTTATTTTCTTGTTTTCAAAATTTTATTATCATCTCATTGACAAAAATTGGAAAATAGGAACAACATAAATACAAGTTGGCCTTATTGTAATTATAATGGAAAAATCAAAATATAAATGGCGAGCACAAAACAAACTAAACAAGCTGATGCCTTAAAATAAGGGGGAAAAATCAATTAAATACATATTCATGACAATTAAACACAAGGAGATACCACAACAAACCTAAACAATGAGGCTACATTTACTAGTTTTCAGACAAGTGTGTAAATAATTTAAGCTGTCAAACCACTGTAGTTGAATAAGGTTTAAATTGTGAATTGTAAGACCTATTTTTTTGGAATCATGAATCGAATTGTCAGATTTATGATCAATAATAAAACAAACATGCAATTAACAAAGATGTATTAAAACACAATCACGATCAGAGTTCTATTAAAAATTGTTACAATAAAATAATATTAAAATTATAATAAATATTCTGTCATTGACATTATTATATATAATACATTAAAACTTATAATAAATATTCTGCTATTACTTTTAATATATATTAATTACATATTAGTATTTGAAACACTAACCAAATTTATCTATTTCGTTTTATAATAGATTTTATGAAAAAGATATTGAAAATAAACAATTATTGATCAAATATTTTTTATTTGATATTAGACAAACCTTAAATATCATATCAATATTTAAAACTGAAGGTCAACAATGGTATGTGTTACAATTAAAAAAAAACAAAAGTTCTTTATAAAACACTGACGTTGGAATTAGGGTTGGGAATACCCACTTAAGCAAAAACACACCCACAAACAGAAGTCGTGGGACGCAACTTGTCCACTTCAATGCCATTTTCTGTGATTTAGGCCGTGAGATGCATTGCTTCAGATGCAATAGCCAGGCACATCGGAGGAGCAGAGTGCCACAACTCCTACCGGCCTCACAGAAGCTACTCATTTTGAACCAGAATTCTACCGGCCATGGAGGAGCGGAGGATTGTGACTCTGACTGGCCTCTCAAAAACTACCCTTTTCGAACCAGAATCGCCCAATTCAGATACAAATTACGACTCATGCAATTCAAGAACAAAAACGATACGCAGCACAATTCGCATCGTTTTCCTTCTGTATTGAATCGAATCACATGAATCATATTGAGATTCATGCAATACTAACTACTATGTGTCACACTATCATCTTAGTCATCAAAATCTACTAGTTATAATCTAAGATCTTAAAAAAAAAACATTAATTGCAATAACCTAGCAACACTATCTAATTCATGTGCATACCACTCATAACAATGTTAAGATATCATAACAAGTTCTAAATAACAAAAATAGAAAAATCATATTATAAAATTAATCAATGACCACAAAAACATTCCACCTATGTGCTTAAATTTTCCTTTCACAATTTACCTTGGTATCAGTATCCATTTGCACAGGCTTATCTCCTGTCTCAGGGATACCATTTTCGGCCCCAGGGGCTTCAGCAGTTGCTTTGGCATTAGCATCTTGCATGTTAACATCATTGTCATTGGTGCTAGGAGGTGCGGCAGCATCAGCAGGAGCTTGATCAGTTTCCATCATGGTATTTTCTGCTGCAGATTCTTTGGAAACTGGAACCTCAATCTCTTCCTCTTCCACGAGCTTAAGGAAAATAAGAAAATAAGTAAGAGCATAGATTCTATAGTTTATTTCAATTACACCACAGGTATAACAGAATAATAAAAACAATCACCAAGCCCAAAGAGACTTACAGTTGCAGATTCGACTGATACAACTCCATGCAAATTCAACCGAACTTTGACTTTAATTTTTGCCTTTTCATTATGTGAAGATTGGAAAGGGCCAATCTGCATACATTTAAGTACAACCGACAGTCAAATGAGTGCCAAAAAAAAGTACCATGTGCATGTGTGCTCTCAGACACGGGTAAATGAAAACTGACTTACAGTATAGGTGCTGATCTTTGCAGGTGTTTGCAAACCACTCACATCATCATATTGAACATCAATAGAAAAGGTTCCTGACCTGTAGAATGTCAGTGCCTTGACACTTGGTATGGGATTGCCCTTGGCAAATACAAGGGTACTTTGCTTATTATCTGGTCCACTTTCCTGTGTATCAGGACTGGAACCTTTCCACGAGAGAGAAATTGAGAAAGGAAAGCTTTCATTGACCTTTGCAACAATTCACCAAAACAAAATAGTAATTAACATGCACAATTTACAATGAAACTCAAATAAAGAGATACCAGAGAGGCAGAGACAGGTAATTCAAAGCACATAACATATACCCAAAAAAACAAAATAAATGCTGAAATCCAGGATTCTTAAATATCTGAACAGTATTTATATTGAACAAGTTTAAAACAGAGTGTAATACAGTGGGGAAATTTTTTACCTGAAATTCCCGCACTTTAAAAGTTGGACTGAGAATTGCACATTGCAATGCACAACCCCTGGCAACACATTCACTTGCATTCATTGTCCGCCTAGGCTCTTTTTTGAAGAACTCAGTCAATATTTTGTTAATAGCTGGTACACGAGAACCAGAACCAACCACCTCAACCATGTGCACATCCTCAACGGTAAGACCTGCCTCTGCAAGTGCCTTCTCCAAAGGTCCCTTCACTCGTTCCAATATTGGAAGACTTAGTTGCTCAAACTCATCACGCTTGATAAAGCCTCTAACGTCCTTCTCATCCATTAAGCACTCAATGTTCAAAGGTGCCTCTGGATTAGCACTAAGCACTTTCTTCAGCTTCTCACAAGCAGCCCTCAACCTTATACAAGCCCTAGCATTCTGGAATACATCAATCTTGTACTCTTCCTTAAACTTTGCAGCAAAATGATTGAAAAGAACCTCGTCAAAGTCCCTCCCACCTAGGGACCTATCATATGAATGGGCCAGCACTTTCAGCTGACCCTTTTTATATCCAGCAACGCACACTTGCATGCTAGCGTGTCCAATATCAACAAAGGCAACATTTAGCTGATCATTTTCAGGAAGATCCGTCTTATAAATTCCATAAGCCAATGCAGTTGCTGTCGTTTCATGAAACAGGCGCAGTGGGTGCAAACCTGCAATAGTGGCAGCATCCAAGACTGCTCTTCTCTGAAGATCAGTAAAATAAACTGGAATTCCAATGCAGCAATCAACAACAGCAGCATTCAGATTTTTCTGAGCTATTTCTTTAAGGTTTGATAGCATCATTCCGAATACTTGGGTAGGTGTAAATGTTTTAGTTTCACCCAAGTACCGGGCATGAATTAATGGATATCCATCGGGTCCTTCAGTTACAACAAAAGGCAATGACTTCAGATCTCGCTGTAATTCAGGATCAGCAAATTGTCTACCAATTAACCTCTTTATCTGTGAGATCGAGTTCTTTGGGTTCATCATAGTAGACGAAGCCCCAGCTGTCCCAAGGAACCGTTGTTTGTCACCAAAGCATACAACTGCAGGAGTTTCACGCTTGGACTCATCATTGAGCACGACATCAATCCCCCTTTGCCTCGCAACAGCAACAATGCAGCTCTCGTTACCAAAATCAAAACCAACCACGCTCATCTTCGGTTGATCTCAGTCAAAAAGAATATCTAAAAAAGAAACAAAATATGTCAGGTTCATTTCTGACACAGACTTTAATTTGCATAGATTTTAATAATGTCACAAATAATGACTTGAAAAAAAAATGGAAGCCACAAGTAGAAACATCAATTTTGCAATGCCTTGAAGCTCAACTGAACTATCAAATACAACAGTTATTCAACTAAATTCAACCCTGATAACATAACACTCAGGACTAGTAAAAAGACCTAAAAACGAAATCTAAACATCTTCTTTAATTAAAAAAAAAAATGCCGTGTATAGTCCATATAAATCCAGCATCAGAGTCTAGAAATCAAATTTTCCAATCATTTCTATGAAGACTGTATTTCAGCCTAAATATATAGCTAAGACTTCCTAATAAGCACGAGCAAGTAAAAGAATTGAAGACAAAATGTATAACACCAAAAACACACAGATCTATGATGAGAAGGAGCAAAGACTACATAAATCTAAAGAAAGAAGAAATAGGGTTTACCAGAAAAAGCGATCGAAGAAGGAGGAAAGGGTTTAGGGGTTCTGGAACAATCTGAAAGGTTGAAGAGGCGCAGCGTATTAACGGACTAGTGAAGAGAGAGACCTTAATAAAGAGCTAGACCCTTGAGTTTGCTTTGCCTGGGGGCCGAAATACAATTTTAGATTTCTTTTATAATTTCTTTTGTGACCTTTTTACTTGTTAAATTGCCAGTTTTGAACCAGTTTTCAAGGAAACAAAAGATAGGTCCCAGAGATGTCTGGAGAATCCTCCCAAGTTCTAGAAACATCTATCACTTATACTTGGATCTCGAGTAGGGAACCCCCACTGTCTTGTTGTTTCGTTTTTTTTTTTTTTTCTGAGACTAGAAAGTTGGGCTTGTTGTGGATCTAAGTTGAAACATAAACTCTACTTATTATGGGCTTCTCCATCCTTTTGTTTTGTTTCTGTGATTTCTACTAAATCAAATGTAAAATAATAAGAAGGAAAAAAATGTGTTTTTAATCATTATTATTTAGATCAAGCATGGACAATGTATTTTTTATGTCGATTAATATAGTCTTCAGAAAGTTGCGTAGATTTAGTATCATCTAACTTAAAAAATATATGATGAATTCTTGTAAAAATAAATAAATTCACATAAATTTTAAATTTTGAAAACTAAAGTATAAAACTACAAATATATGATCAAAGTATGAAAACTACAAACATATTTTTTTTAATAATAATAAGTGGAAATTTTGTGCACATGGACTTTTTTTATTTAATTTGTATGTATCAAACCAGATATTAAAGAGTTACAACAATTGGTGTACATTTATGCACTATTTTAGTAACATATATTTTTATAAAATCTAACACTGTTTCAGTTCATTTTCAAATAAGAAAATGATACATTTTTTTATAAAAAAAATAATTCAAAAAATATATATGAGAGTAAAGTAAATTCTAAAACAAATAATTCACAAAATTTTTAAAACCAAAAATATAATTTAGTATGTTAGTTATTATGGTTTTTTTAATAAATATTTTCTATATTTTTCATTAGAGATTCTTAATGACATAAAATTACTATTAAACTCACTAGAAATTAAACTAGTATATAGGCATGGCAATCTAACCCGCCCTCGTGGGTACCCGCCCGAGCCCGTCCCGATTTGGATGGGGAAAACTCGTGTTTATCGAGTTCGGGTTTGGGTTCAGGTTTTCCCCGATTGATAAAATCGGGGGCGGGGACGGGGACGGGGATGTTAATACCCACCCCGCCCCACTTAATAATATAATTAAAAAAATATTTTTATATATATAAACCAAAATTAAAAATATTTATATGTAAAAATTTGTATTATTTTACTTTTCACTTACTTTTTAAATAAACTCGAACCCCGCCGGGGGTGGGGATGGGGACCCAGATTTTATCCCCGACGAGTATCGGGGACGGTGGCGGGAACAGTTTAAATTTGTGGGGGCGGGAGCGGAGAACGTAAAACTCGCCCCCGTCCCGCTCCGTTGCCATGCCTACTAGTATACATATGAAACTATACGTAGATTCTACTTAAGTGTGGAAAATGAGTAAATACATGAAAATTTGTTCAATTTTCAAGTTTTCTCATTATAATATTTCATATATTTTCTATTGATAAAAAACTATCATACACATATAATTTGCATTTAAATATAATAATATTATTTTTTAATTATAAAAAATTACAATAATAATAATGAAAATCAAACTTAAATTATTACTTATTTAGCCTAATCCTATCATGGATAAATCATAATAGTTGTATTTCAATGGTTAGATGTATATTATTAACACTAACATACAAAAGATGTTTCATGTCTTATTATTTCCGTATATTTTGTTAAAAAAAAATTAAAGTTGATATGAGAACATAATTAATAGAGTGTAATAGAATCGAGGTAATTAATTAAATAGTATAATAAGTATTAAATGAATCTTTCTTTAAAAATTAAAAAGTTAAAATGGTTAATTGTTAACAAAGTGTATAAAAAAGATATCACCTGTATAGTTTATACATTAACTATCGAAAAAAACACCCTATTTCCATTTAAATATGTACACAATAGTGAAATAGTGAATAATAATTATATTTAATAACAATTTTAAGAATAAAATTTGGATTTTTTTTTAATTTTTATTATGATGTCTTTTCTTTATTCTTACTTGTGAAAGTGAGACATTTATGTGTTATAAAAGAATGAAAAAAATAGAATAATAAAATTTAGAAAATGTGTGATTAACTTTAGAATAGTGAAATAGTTAAATAAATAAATTAAAATGTAAAAAAATAGTTTAATTAATTAATTAATAGATAAAAGAGTAAAAAATAATACATAAACATCAAAATAAAAAAAAATATTTATTAATATTATAGATTATGCATTGAAAGAGTTGAAATTATAAAAAAATAATATTCAGATAAAAACAGGAAAACCCTTATATATATAGGTAGAGGTATCTTTTTGATATTAGTTGTTTTTTTCTTAAATAATTTTAAAATCCTAATTAATTGAAATAGTGTAAAGGCACTTCAGTACGACATCGTTCAGCTGGTCTTGGTTGTCTTGGCGGGAAAATTATCTGAGTCTGATTGGTCAGTGGCTTCTCATTAGGGTTCATTCGTGTTAAAAGTTCAAACAAACTTTGCCAAGAACTGATAATCCTGACAGTATTGAGAAAAAACGAAGAAATGCCTACGTACAAGATCAGGGGAATCGACGTAGATTTCCCGTTTGAAGCCTATGATTCCCAGATTGTTTACATGGACAAAGTAATTCAATCACTTCAGGAGGTAACAATTTTTAATCTTTTTTTATTTAGCTTTCTACATGTATTTTCTCTTAGAGACAATAATGTTAGAGATTCAGCCCAGTATTAAATTTAAGCAAAATTTTTAACCTTGGTTCACCATGTTGGACTTATTCCTTTGAGACCCAACTTTCTTCAGTAACAATTTAGAATCTACGTCAGTGAGTTGTATTCTCTTTTCAAATGCACAAACTCGATATAGAGTTGTTTCAAACTTCAATCGTCAATTAGTTAGAGTTGCAGATGCCACAATGTTTGTGTTCTTGACATTGCAATTATAATCTTGCTTTTGGATCAACAGAAAGTGATACCACAACATTATTAAGTAATTTGATGATGACGTGATTCTGTCCTAGATGAATATTTCTTCACTAAGCTAGGAAGTACAGCATGTGAGGTATGTATATGATACAATAAATTTAAATATGATTCACACGTAGACATTAATATAACAAATTTCAAAATTTATAGGACACAGCACAATTAAGATACAATATATAAAATTGGTATGAAGTTAAAATAAAAAAAATATAATTCACAAGAGAGAATTCATGTTTAAAAGATGAGTACAAATTATAAATCATTGTAAATATAACAAAATGCAAAAAATTATCTAATTATTGCAGTGTTCTAATCAGTATTGGTATAAAAAAATTTTAAAAAAAAAAAGTATAAAAATTATAAAAATACAATTAAAAATATTTAAAGTGTCTATGCCATATTTGACATGGTTATGTATCTAGCACAGTTATGACCACACTGCCAGTATTTAGAATTACAAGTGTTTGTGCATTTCAGATTTGAAGTCATTATCTATGGTTGTTTACTTTGGTTTTGTTTTCGAATGCTCAATGTCCTTATTATTGTCCTCGGAAACAAAGATTCAACTATAACATCTATTTTTTATTGGTTGTTTACCATTTAAGTTGTTAATGATTATTAGTGATATTCAATGTATTGTGCTATGGATATTCATTGTGCACTTCTGTATATGTTTTGGCATGAAAGAAATGTAATGCACTATTGGAGAGTCCCACAGGAACTGGGAAAACACTATGTCTTCTCTGTGCTACCTTAGCATGGCGGAAAAGTTTGGGTAGTTTCACAACTGGTGTGAGCTTGCAGACTGGTGACAAGTCAGAGGATAAAAATGAGATTTCACTGTCACAATCTGAGTTGTCAGGATTTTCTACAATTGTATATGCTTCACGCACTCACAGCCAGATCCGTCAAGTAATTCAAGAATTGAAAAGAACTTCTTACAGGTCATTTTATATTTTCTGGAAGATCCTTTTTATACTGAAGTTTGCAGATGATTGATCTATCATCTCACTGATTATTGGCTTGTCAGTGTTCATTGTAATTGATATTTGATATTGTCAATGCCATGTAAATTTACCATCCACTTGCACTTCCTCTGAGTTTTTGTTTCCTATCAAGTTTGTAATTGTGATCCAGAGACAGAAAATGAATTTTGCAGACTGTCCTGGTTGATATTTACTGTCCACTAGACTTATGCTGAACCAAACCAATATTATAGTCTGAAGTTTTTATGATGATAGTATCTTGGGCCTAAGCTTACCTGATATTTATCAGTATGCAGGCCTAAGATGGTAGTCCTGGGATCTCGGGAGCAACTTTGCATTCATGATGAAGTGAAGTTACTTCAGGGTAAAACACAATCAAATGCTTGCCGAGTACTCTGTCGAAGGCGTGGGAAGCGCCACTGTAGCCATTTTCAACAAGTTACTGGTAATTTTGTAAATAATGTTCTATACATACAATATGAGTGTTTGTATTTTACATGTGGACCTTGTTTGTCATTATGCATTTAAGTGTATAACTCATACTTAACAATTGACATGCATTTTATTTCAATGGATGAATGCTCTCATATATTATCCATGATCACTAGCCCCATAATTATGAAATAACAATTTGATGTTGTTATTATTATTATTATTATTATTATGATACTGCACTTGTAGCTTTGGTGTGCTATTTGTGGCTAGTCATTTCATACAAACAACTAGAACCTTACTAATCCAAAAATGATGAATTTTGGGATGAAAAAATTGATAGGTGTTGGAAAGTGGGCTTAATTGCAATCAACCTTAACCTGCCTTAATTGTGGTCTATCACAGTTGTTCGTCGATGTCTCAGAGAGAGCTACTCAAAAAGGAGGTGATCAGAAAAGCATTGTAGTTTTGTGGGGTTGAATTAGGAGTTAGGACCTAGGCCCACATTCTAAGATGGTATCATACTCCATCTTAGATCTATTGTTGGGTCACTCGCATTGCCACACTTCAGGCTCAAGCCTTAGGTGTGAGGGGGTGTGTTGGTAAACTGCCTTAATTGCGGTCACCTAGCCCACCCTAATTGCAGCCTATCAAAGTTGGTTGCTAGTATCTTGGATAGGGTTTGATATGAAGGGGTTGACAAGAAAGGTTGAGTGAAGCATTGTAGTGTGTAGTTGTCGGGACATTGACTCCTAGGGGGTTGAGATCCCACATCAGTTAAAGATAAAGCCTAAGTAGTGCTTAAAGCATGGGCAATCTTTATCTATGAGCTGGTTTCATGGGGTTGAATTAGGCTCTAAGTCCAAATTCTAAGAGCATTATAATCAGCACAAATGCAATTCTTTGTACGATTAGAGAGAAACATTTCATGGGTCAAAAGTTTGAACTATGAGCTTAGATTGCCAGGAAAGTCTTTCTACTTGTATTGTTTTATGAGTGTGCGACGTTATTCTTTATGTCATGGTTTTACGAGAAACAGTTCTCTATTTTATTAAACCATTTGATCATGCTACTGTATGATGTGCAACCTACATTATAGCTTTGTTATTGATACCATAGATTCCATATCCTTGCTCCAAATTAATCTGTTTATGCAAATTGCAAAACATCCTCTTATAGATGTAAAACGATTTTTTTTTTTTTGTGGAGACTGTTATAGCTTCATGTGGATTCTAATCAATAATTTTGTCCTTCATGGACTATTGAATTATATCTCTGAAATTCAAATCATGTCATGTGTGTCTGTAAGAATAAGTTATAATGCTTATGGAAGTTACTGAATACTGAAAGCTGCAGATCATTTATGAATTATTTGTCAAATGTTAATTCAAATTATTGCAATTTAATTTTGATCTATTGATGTGTTATCATTATGACTTAGACTATGTTGAGAATGTTACTGAAATTCTGTTGCAGATTACTTGAAGAACAATCCCCATCTTGGAGAAGAACCTGTAGATATTGAGGATTTGGTCAATATTGGTAGAAGATTTGGGCCGTATGTTTTCTCAGCTTTGCTGGCTGTAACGTTAATATAACATCTTCATGAGCAAATTTAATACATATATTCTTTGTCTCCATGCTCCTTTTCTTCTCTCTCTTTCTCCAAGTGAGAATTTCTACTTTACTTTGTCTCTGCATATTTCAGGTGTCCTTATTATTTATCAAAGGAGCTCCACAAGGTTGTTGATATAGTATTTGCTCCATACAACTATCTTATAGATCGTGGGTATAGAAAATCTTTGCAAGTTTCATGGAGCAATAGTATACTCATATTTGATGAAGCTCACAACCTGGTAAAAAACGTTTCGCAAATTTGTGATTAGAAATTAAGATTTACTGCATAGACCATAGTTCCATGAACTGTCAACTTCTCTATGCTATATTTAATGTTGCCCTTTTCATTACTCTGCTGTATGTATTATTGAAATTTATTTATGTTATTCAAGTGTACTTGTTACTAATTTCAGTCTGTTATGTGTTATGGAAATTTATTCAAGCGATTTAATTTGCTTGTTGTTACTTGCAGGAAGGCATATGTGCTGATGCAGCTTCCTTTGACTTGCCTTCTTGGCTTCTAACTGCTTGCATTTCTGAGTCAGAAAAATGTATTGACCTTTCAATAGAAAGAAGAGATAAATCAAATGATAAATCACAAAATCCAGATGATTTTGCTATCCTTAGAGGTGAATGCCTATCCAAAGGCCAATTTCTCCGTGACAATATCATTATGCATGTTTTTACTCACTTTGACAACATCATTGAGGAAATGTTATCTAATATAAAACATGTTTGTGTTTACTGGATTTTCTGGCAAGGCAGCCAATTGTGTACACATGCGTTCTCTCTCTTTTTCTTTCTAGATTCTGGTCTGTGTGCTCTTAAAATAGTATGCCATATATTTTCTTTCTTGCAGCACTTCTTCTAAAACTTGAAAAGCGTATTGCTGAGGTGCCTATTGAATCTAAGGAGTTGGGGTACACCAAACCTGGGCCTTATATTTATGAAATGCTGGCTGATCTTAACATCACACACAAAACTGCTTCTAAGCTTGTCAATATAATCGCAGTAGCTTCAACCCTTCTTGAAGAACACAATCAGCAGAAATCAACTGGCACGGTCTGCAGGTTGGATAGAATCAGTGAAATTCTTGAAATTGTGTTCAGGGATGGAAGAACAGCCCATGCTAAATATTATCGTGTAAGCAGTGGTCTCCTACTTTATCCAAGTTACAACTCTTGAATGTGTATTTTTTCTTTTCTTATGCCATAATATCATACTCTGAGCTTTATTTCCCTTTACATAAAAGGTTCATGTGCGGGAGGTTGAGGCTAGGGGTGGCAATGGCTCTAAAGGTATTTTGAGACTTATTCGAATGAACAAGATTTCTCAATATATTGAAATAAAATTTTCAACAGATGCTCCATTAATTTTTCCCTTCCTTTATTATATGAATTACTCAATACTCAATTTTCACACATGTACTATACGTTTAAAACTTAGAAGATTTATCTAATACGTCAAGGGATGATTGATAATTTCTTTGGTACTTGTTTAGTGTATTGTTTATGGTTCTTTTGTGATAGTTTCATATGTAAATTTGCTTCATAAAATCATTTGTTGTCAGTCCCTGTTTTTACAAATTATTGCTAAGCTTTTTAGATTTAGAAAACTGATGTTTTCATTTTTATACAATATATATTTTCATGTCAAGAGTTTTGGTTAAAAAGATATGGTTGTTTCTAAGAGTTTTGGTTAATCTTCTCTTGAATACATTAAAGCACTTGGGCCTCTGGCTCATGTTTTTTGGGGTTGGGATGTGAACAGGATTTAGGAGTTAGCTTGAGGTGGAAATGTTTCATGTTGAACTTTAGTCTTCTTGTAAATGAAGATATTCCTTTCATTATACAGAATTATAGACAATCTAATTTGTTTCCATTAAACCTGTACAGTGTTTTGTAACTTTAGATGTTCATGTCCCTTGCATTCTCAGTTATACTTGTTTTGATGCTGCAGGCAAGGTGTTAAGGACACTCAGCTGGTGGTGCTTTAATCCAGGAATAGCCATGGAAGACTTTTCTAGATATGGGGTTAGATCTATTATATTGACTTCGGGCACATTATCCCCTATGGAATCTTTTGCCAAGGAACTGAAATTGTAAGTTCCTTTTCATGCTAATTGTGTTTTCATCCAACAAAATCTCGGATGTCAAAAACTAATAGAGTTGATTCTGGTCATTTCAGAGACTTCCCCATTCGGCTGGAAAATCCACATGTAATAACCCCAAATCAGATATGGGCTGGAGTTGTGTCAGTCGGTCCTTCAGGGCGTACTTTTAACTCCTCTTACCGCACTCGTGATTCAATAGAGTACAGGCAGGAGCTTGGAAATGCAATAGGTATTTGACCTACTTATGGCTATATTGAGTTTGGCAAGATGAAGCTTATGAAATATTTGCCTCACCATTTTGATAGTGAAAGCCTTATTAGTGACTGGAGCATTACATTCTTGTTACAGCTTGATCCTACTTTTATATGTTAGCGTGTTTCAGATTTTGAAGTGCTTTTAGATAGACAATTTTAAACATATTTAGGTTTTACATGTTTTAACACAATTTTTGATAGTTTGCAGTATGTGACTCATTTCTAGAATGGTATGAGGTATAATCGATATTGTTAAACATGAGTTAACAGATTTTAAGTTGTAAGATTTGATAATTTATGCTCTTATTTAACTATTGTCTTGGAGAAAGATGTGGGTGTTTTAGGCAAATGAGCATGGGTTTACTTACATATGCTTGAGAGGCAAAAATAATTGAGACTGAGCATAATGAGACATAAGGGGGGATACATAATGAAGATTTCAAGAAGTTACAATTATATGATATATAATAATCTACATTCATCACTACATTTGTGTGGGTATAAATTCATAAAAACTGAAGAAAACTCTATATTTCACACTATAAAAATTCAACAGCCTTCAGAATTTGGAAAAGAGTGGCTTACATACATTTTCAGAATTTGAAGAAAAGCTGTTACTGATTGTGCATAATTTCATTTTTATGTTGTATTGCAGTAAATTTGGCTCGAATTGTTCCTGATGGACTTCTTGTATTCTTCCCATCTTATTACCTTTTGGATCAATGCACAGGCTGCTGGAAAAGTGTGGTAAGATTTATACTGACCTACTGAAAAGGTAAATTTGTTTGGTCACGCTCATGATAAATTGTGTTGTGGTTGGTTATTTTCAGAGTAATGAAAATTCAACATCAATATGGGACAGAATTTGCAAACACAAGAAACCTGTTATAGAACCTAGGGACTCTTCAGCGTTTCCCATGTCAATTAAGGTAACCCTTTTATTTAACATAGTGAAAGCACATTCTTCCATAATTAGCATTTGGATGCATCATATCCTAAGATAGAAATGACCTTTATATTTCTTTTGACAGGACTACATGACTAAGTTGAATGACACCTCTGTCTCTGGAGCAGTTTTTTTTGCTGTTTGTCGTGGGAAGGTATGCCTCAATCATGAATGTTGATAAACAGCCTTCTGATGTGTGTTCTCACAGGCATTCATATTATAGTATAGTATGTTATACAAAATACTGGAATTCATAGTCGTACCTGTACTGGTATGATACAGCTATACGGTAGGACCATAAGGGGATATGGCAAATTGGCAATATATTTGAGGATTCTAGGATTAAAGAACATGTCTATTACATAAAAATATTTAGTTATATATTTAATTTAGGGAGAAGGATTTATAAGAGATGAAGCATTATCCTAGAAATTTTACTACAAAGCAAATCTATAGCATAATGCATTTGTGCCATGGTTATTTTAACAGGTAAGTGAAGGATTAGATTTTGCTGATCATGCTGGAAGAGCTGTGGTAATTACTGGTTTGCCATTTGCCACAAGCAATGATCCTAAGGTTTGATTACCTTTTCTCATTCTTACCTTGAAAATTTGCATGTTATTGCATATTTACATTCATTAAGCACTGTAACACTAAATAATTCTGTTGTCATTGTCTATTAGTTATGTATGTACATATCATGTTATAAAAATGCACTCATTGAGTTTAATTACTACCAGGTTCGACTAAAACGTGAATACTTAGATCAACAATCTCGGCCACAGGGAGAACTGCTCAAGGTTATGCTGGTTTACTTGACATAAATTTTGTACATTTATATATATATATATATATATATATATTAATTATTTGGCCGGAACTTAAACAGATTTTAACCGGAGATGAGTGGTATAACCAACAAGCCTCCCGGGCTGTGAATCAAGCTGTTGGACGTGTAATTCGCCATCGCTATGACTACGGTGCAATTATTTTCTGTGACGAAAGGTGTTAACCTCAAGTTATTTTGGTTTAAATTTCCTCAATACATATCTCAGTACTACTAGCAAAGTAACATAAGTTTTTATTAATAATTCTTATTCTCTCTCCTAATTGTTATTTTTCAAGGAAAATTATTGACCCAGTTTTTATTTTATATTTTATTTATTTATTATCATATGGATAATTTATAAGTCAGTTCTTTTGGTCCTAACAAATTTCTATAGATGTTTTTTTGGGTGTTGGTGTCTCAAGCTATAAACTTTGTGAAGTATTCAAGTAAATTGGTTAGTGTCATGATAATATGATATGATCATATGAACTACTCTTCCCTTTACTAAAACTATTTGAAATAAAAATCTCATAGATACATTAGTAAACAAAAGCCAACTAATACACATACAGCCTTTTATGACACGGCCTTAGTAATTATTCTTTTGGCCTTTGTTGCTTTTCAATTTTTGTTGAGGATTATTCTTAGTATTGGAGTTATTACAGGTTTTCACAACCACATCGCCAGTCCCAAGTCTCGCGTTGGATACAGCCTCACATTAAGGTGCCATTTTTTCACTGAAATTGCCCTTTTATATACATATTTTTTATACTAATAGGTTTTCAATATTGCAGTGTTTCTCAAGATTTGGAGAAGTCGTTTTCACTCTTAGTCGATTTTTCCGGGATGTAGGAACTCAGGGTCCTACTAAGGTGTCATTATTAGAAGCTGAAAGTGAGGGTTAGTGTCTTCTAGTACTACGTTCTGTTGGCTGTCATGTCTTAGCGTGTGGACTTGTGTCCCTACCTTAATTTTTGACTGCTACACTGAAATACTGTAAATTTGTTTCTTTTGAGCTAAATGGGTATTGGTTTCTATCTACTTTTTATGAATTGGCAGTTGAATTTTAGTATATCATATTTTGATATTTCATAAAGATGGAGTATTTTTTATTAAAGCCAGAGTGAAGGTAATGACATCCTGGGAAGGAGGAAAATACCAGTTGCTTACAATGTGATTTTGTGTACTGGAGTTACACGATCAAATGGGCTTTGCCTAATTCAAAATCAACTAACTGAATAATACTGAAATTGTTTGGTAACTCATTCCATGAAGTCGGTTTCCTTTTTGCAATATGTTTCTCATTCCTGTGTTTGAACACAACTTTTTAGTCATGCAGCCTTCAATGCAAATTTAATTTCTTTGCAAGAGTAGCTTCCCTTTCTTTATATTCTTTTTGCTTTCTTTTTCTACTAATATGATTTAACTAGGTTCTTACTGATACAGGAAATCTGGGGAAAGTACCATCATCAGAGCTGCAGATGGACAAATTTTACATGGAAAAACTTTTGTCACCTCCGGTAACCCCTTGATTATACCCTGTAAAGTTGTTTATTTTTTTAATCATATAATTCTATTGTTTGGCTCTCCAGTTTGTTAATGATTGTACATGCAGACTGCACCGATGGTTCAAAATTTCTCTTTGAAAGCTTCATCATTGCTTGATACTAAAAAAGGCTGTATATCACACCTGGGGGAAATAGTGCCTGCCAATCGCTCATCTCTTTCTTCTGAAAATGGCAAGACTGTACACTGTGAAAGCTCAAGAGATATAAGTGGCAAGGTTTTGCTTGGAGGGAAGACTCTTCTATCACAAAAACGTGATATGGTTGATTTGACTGACTGTTGTCAACTGGGTGAAAAATCAAAGGATACACCAATACCACCTTGTTCTGCCAAGAAGCGGAGATTCGTGACAGGAGAGTATGACTTAAAGCAATATTTTGGAAATTCTAATGAGCATTCATCGTCTGGTACAAATTTATTGAATCATATTGCTCTCATTTCGGTTTGTAATCATGTCAATCATTGATAAATGAGTATATTTATAATATAGGTAGTCAAAATGCTCAACGAGGTGTAGATCTGCAACATAAAGACGGTGTGGCCTCCAACAGTCTTGAGTTGATCAGACAAAAGAGCATTCTGCCTGCTGATTCTGCGCCTTCTGTTGGTGATGAAACCCAAGGATCAGCATTTCTTGCTCAGGTAAAGTCATTATATGTGATGCATGGATCTGCATATAGCATCTGAAGTAGGGAATGCATTAAGTGGCAATAACTTGAAGTGAAACCAACTAAATTTAATGATTAAAGCCAACGTGCAAGAAAATCCAACAAACTATGTAATGATATACATGAGCTATACAGACTTGATCAGATATGGTCTTAATGTTGACACAAGTTCTCATAATTTAAACTGGAAATTTCTAGTTCCAATTTATTTGCTGTTAGTTGTACAAATATGCTGGGTCAGTTCGCATTAAATTTTAACAGTGTTTTCATAATTATTGTAATTTATCCTTAAGGTTTATACTTGGGCTTGGATTATATTGTGGGGTAACATGGTGTTGAACGATCTTCCTTTCTTGTCAAATTCATCGATATTGATGACAGCTTGAGTGTAAGGATACTTTGTTTCAATTGTGCCGTACAGGTTCGAGATAAGCTTAGTGCTGCAGAATATATAGACTTTGTGGGTTATATGAAAGCACTCAAGACCAAAGCAATGAAAATTAGCGAAGTATTACAGTGTATTTCTAGAATGTTCTCTGGACCTGAAAGGCTACCTCTCCTTAAAAGGTATTCATTGAAGTTAAAATATTTTAAGCCACCTTTCTGGTTATGAAGTGTTGTACTTGTTACCATTCATCCCCAATTAATATGTTGTTGAAAGTTCTTGATGTATCATGTATCCTTGAAATTAAGTGCAAGTCATAAAACATTATTACCAAGTGTAATCGTAATGCATGAGTCAAATCATTTGATATTCTAACTGCAAAGTGTAATGCCGGGTATCTGAAAGAAAGTGACTAATTCCCGCACTTGATATGGCCACTTAGACTCACTTCCTTGCATGAGGCCTTTTACATGAAGGAAATTTTTTTCAAGCGTTTGATCATATTTAAATTTCTGATATTGAATCATCTGCTGACCTTCATACTGTGTTCAACAGGTTCAAGGATTACATCCCAGCAAAATATCATTCATTGTATGAGCACTACGTAGAAGAAAAAAGTTAACCATGTCAAGATTACTTGAAGGTGCCTGCTTGCGACTGTCATATGATAATTCTTCAGCTAAAACCAGGTGATCCCTTAACCTCTTTCTTGGATTTTTGTTATTAAAGACATGGAAAGGTGTGAATATTAGTACATGGCATGAGTTGTAACAAGACTAGGGATGAGCACAGACATGAGACATAAAGCAATATAAATTAGAGATTGGTATTTCATCACTCTTAATTTAGTAGAGAAACTGATCTCATAAATGTCTGCTTCAGGAGTATTGACTTCAAAAAGATCATTCTTTTGGCGCATGTGTACTTTGTGGCATTGAATTTGACATAAACATGTTGGAATGAGCATTCTTGATATTTGATGTTGGCCTGGGTGGATTAGCAGATGAATATTTGGGAATCAGTTCATCAAAAGAACGGTCAATGGATTATTTACAAGGACCTCTAGGGAACCAGGCTCCTTGGAATGGGTCCTCAGGTTACCCGTCTATTATAATATATCTAACTTTAATCAAATACTTTAGATAAATAGTGTTTCTCTTGGCAACCGATTTTGATGATGCATCTTTTGGATGTTCTGCACCCTGAAGAAATACATAGCTTTTTTTATTTATTTATTTTTATCATTATTATTGCTTAGTATTCGTGGATTTATCTGTACATAGGTGTACATGCAGCTGATTCTTTAGTAGTTGCACACATAATAATTTACCATATATTTTTACTTCAAATCGTTAGTAACGTAGATTGAGTTCCTTTGACAATCAATGGCAAAAAATACAAACAATATGTTAAAAATGCATTTATCATTTATCAGATGATTTTATTAGCTATTTAGAATCAGTTTGGTATCTTACAAAGAGTTCAGCTTCTCTTCAACAAAAATGTGCAGTATTTGGTGCGGTAAACCATCTATTGACCCATGTAAGTATATAATCAAGCAACTTACTACACTAAATTCAATTAACTGTGCTGTATTTAGTGTGGAAAAGTAAATTTCAAAGCAAGGTTGATTCAATGCGGCAAGATGCATATTTATTTACTTATATGGGTAAATAAAGTAGGTTAAAGAAACTAGCCTATTAAGTCAATTCCTTTTTAATTTACCACCCATTCTTTCAAATGGCCACTTGATAACTGCAGGAAGCTAATACAGATGAAACACTAGTTGAACAATTTAAATATTTAATTCTACTTAAGGTTTTATCGGTAAAAACACTTAACAAAATCTTTGTAGTTTAAAATGTTTGTAAGTAAATCCTTACACATTAACCTCGTTATAACTTTGCTTATTTATTAACTTAATTGTACTTTTAGTCCTTTAGTTATTGTATCGTATGATTTTGGTCTTTCAACTTTTCTGTCGTTTAGGGTTCACGATGAAATTCTCCTAATTTATCATATAATAATGTAGGTTGATGATTTAAGTGGACAAGGAATTTTCGGTGTTGAAAGTGGGAATTGACCCTTCCTTCTAAAGTAAAACCACTAGGGACTTGATTTGATATATAAATAAAAAATATTTTATATATTTCTTAAACAACAGAGCAAAATTACATATATGTTCACTAATATAAATTAAATAATATTAACATTAATACTGATAAATATAAATTAATAATGTGTATTTGTCAGCATGACGGTGATGAGATCAACGAGAGCACAAAGTATTTATAATATTATTCCTTATTTACTAGTAATAAATATATGTATAATTTGATTCTTAATATATATTATCAATTCATATTTATTAGTATTAATTTTAATATTATTTAATTTAGTAGTAAATATATGCAATTCTAGTTTCATGTTTAAGTAATATTATATATAATAAAAATCTTTTATTTATATATCAAATAGAATCATCAGTATAGTAGTCCTAGTGTTGTGGTGGTTTTTAAGGATATTTTCATTTTCAACATACTTAAAGTATCAAAACGGCCCTAGTGTAGGGATTTAATTATAAACTTTTTAAATCATGAGAATTTTTTAAAGTACTTTTAATTATATGGACTTTATTAAAAATTCTATAAAACTATAGAAATCTAAAATAAGAAGAAAAATTGGCAACCACATGTCTATTTATGCAAGTGTGCGAGTGTCCACCTATATATTTCTAATTGCTTTTCCAACTGGGTCACTAAGGTCAGGATTGAATTTACCTGTCCCAATTGTCTCTTTATCTAACTATACTATAAACACAATTTCCTAATTTCTAATCTTATTAATATAGCATATGCCATTTGTGTTATCAAGTAAGGCCAAAATAATTGATAGACATGTGAATTTCTTAAGTCTGCTAATATAATAGAGGTTCAATATATATATATATATATATATATATATATATATATATATATATATTTTTATTTTGTTGAGAGACACATA